ATTCCTGCTCTGGATTTCGGAGGAAGATCCCTATTTTGCTGGATGACCTGGATGTGAAGTTGTCTCTCAGCTTTCCAAACTGTCTTGTAATGTCTCCTTTCACCACAACAACAGCCTGAAGCTGTTTGGAGGAAGGCAGGAGTGATGGGATAGGCACACACATCCCTTACCAGTGTCGAAAACTGATCCCCGCCCCCCCCACACCCCTGATTTTTGCTGTTTTGTTCTGCACAGGCAGATGTGGAAGTTCATTCTTCCTATGAATAGAGACAGATTTTCCTGCCACAGTCCTGCTCCGAAGTTGTCCAGCTGAAGTTGAGGAGCTTTGCTGCTTTTGCTCTCTTGAATTTCAGTCCAGCAATGACTGTGGTTAGCTCAGGGAATGGCAGTGGGTAAGATCAACCACCTCAGTGTAGCCAGCCAGCTTCAAGCAGGTCAGGCCATTTGTACCTGCTGTAAGGGCTTTGAGGCATGAGGAGCCTGTGTAGATACTTCAGGGTCTAAGGGTGAGAGCAAACATGTGGAAAGCTACCTCTTGGTGGAAAGTGGAAAGCACTGTGGACCTGGGCAGATCAGTGCTGCATGAGAAGTTTTGCTTTAACAGAGTGTGTTAGGGGCAAGTGAAAAACAGTCTCTTCCTCACACCTCTGCAATGGGGACAAGGAGCCCAAGAGCCTTTCTTGGTTATGTGTGAGGATATGTAAAGTGCATGTTTGTCCTCCAGTGGCTGTGAAGGTCAAGTTAAGAAAACTTACACTCAGTCTGGAAGAAGAGGCTACGAGACTGTGGTTTCTTCTTTCCCCACTCCTCTTCTGCAGGCTTTTATAGCTGTCCCCCTAAAAAACGGGGTTATAATCAGAAATGGTCTCTTCTTTCTTATTACAAGGATCAGTTGGTTCATCCAACTTGTAAGATCAGCATCCAAATGAGGTAATGGAAGTAACCCTCTGATTTTTGTAATAGGAGAGTTGGATCAGAAAGCAAGAAGCAAGATAAACACAGAGCAAATGGAATGAAGGGACTCATTAGGGACTGGTGCTTATATAGCCCTTGGGGAGGAGAGGGACTCTGAGACATGGCTGAACTGTGCAGCAGAACAAACTCTTCGCGTGTCTTATGCTTTCTTTAACGCTGCTCTGAGTTGTCCTTGTGGCTGTAGATGTTTCTGCAGGAAAGGAGGTGAAGGAAGATGGAATCAGGTTCCATCCTTGTCTCCCCTGTTTTGAGTTACCCTGTCATCTCCCCAGGATGGACTTGGCCTGTTCCGTTTGCTTGATACCAGACCCATCTGCGTGCCAGAGATTTGAAAGCTTGATTGATGGTGTCGAGCTTGAAATCTACAGGCCATGGGAATCTACATCAGGGAGGCTGATGTTGAGCCTGGAGTCAAGGACAAGAAAGTGTGCAGGCTGAAAGAAAACTACCCCTTCCCCCAGCCCCAACATGCCAAACCTTACTGCTCTCCCATGACATCTTACCTGACATCACTACAGCTCCCCCTGACCCTGTGGGGAGCCTCATTGGTGGGAGGGCAGAACAAACCCCGCTTTTATTTCTTATAAAAGGTTTCTCCTTAGGCCAGCACAGCTTCTTAGTGGGAAGAGTGTACGGCCCTTCCTTTCTGAATTTCCTGAGCCTGATGCTGCCCTCCTGTGTTGCAGGACTAAGCCCAGACTAAATCACCAAAGCTTAAGAGAGCTGCGGTGCAGGAGAGAGCGGCACTGCTGCCCACAGCAGGCAGTGCCAGCAGGAAAGCAGGCAGCTGCATAAAAATTTCTGCTCATTTTCTTTGCTCATTTTCTTTTAGTAAACTCAATCACAGAGCTATGGGCAGTGCAGCATTAATCCCAGTTTTGGTTGGAGCTTGAGCGCAGCATTTGATCTGAGTTGACATAACCCAGTCTTATCTCCTGACACCGCTTTTGAGAAGTTCATGGCATTTCACTTACAGCGTTAATGCAGGGAGATAACATTACATATCTAGTGTCTGATTGATTCATTGTGTGATTGATAAATGACGTGCATATTTTTTGCATGAAAACAGTTCTTGTAATGTGAGTCCCCACACAGAAGATTCTCAAAGATTTTAAAGAAAATCTTTGTACTGTGCAGAGAGTTTGATCAATACATTGCTATTTATATGAAATCACCCCATTTATTTAGAACAGATTACCCCACAGCACCTTCACTGCCCTGTGTCTTTTGATTATGAAGCACCATTCCTTGGAGTTTTAATGTAATCATCGTATGAAATGTTTCAATATCTCCCCCTTCTTCCAAGCAGCTATATGAAATACTGGCAGCTGGCTGGGATGTTTTATGGGGTTTGTCTTTTCTTTCTCTGATAGAAAATAAAAGAATTTGCTGCTGTAGTGGGAAAATATTTGGAAAATAGAAAATGTTTCAT